CCGCGTGTCCTTGGTCTCCAGGTCTCGCGGAGCGGGGCCGGCCTGCGCATGGCGGGGAGGCGGTCGCATCCCGGCCTCCCCGAGGGCCGCCCCACCTCCCCGGGGCCGGGGGTTCTGCCGGCCGGAAGCGTCCCTGCCGGGGAAGCCCTCCTCCTCGACTGCCGGAGGCGAGAGCCCCCATGTGGACTGCGGATTCACCTGGAACATTCCCTGGCGCATCCTAGCCACCTTCGCTGGCGCTTCGCTGTGCGGCCTGCCTGCCGCCCTCTGGATGAAGCGCGCGGGGCGCTCCCCGCAGGGCTGCCGGGCCGCGTGCCAGGGCGCCGCAGCCTCTGGCTGCAGGAGGTTGACCCCAGACCCTCCTCACTTACCCACGTGAACAAACCCCCGGCACGTCGCAGGAAGTACCCACTTGTCCTTGGCCGATGCAGAGAGGAAGGAGTTAAAGACTCTCCCAGAGGAAATTGAGGGAGGTGCCTAGGGTGCATGCAATTTTAAGGATTTTAGATTTTTTTTTTTTTACTAATGAAGTTGTTGGTAACTTTGAAAAAAAAAAGGCTTGCAAATCTAATTCTTGTTACAGTGTATACATAAAAGAAAATGTCACTCCAGAGCTAGATTCTCTGGACAGTCCCATGCACCTGTCGCAAAATGAAGGGTGTACTTCTGAGGCGCTTAGGGGAAAATCCTTATTTTTCAGCCAGGTTGCTCCCCTGATTCATCTGAAACTTAAGATGGTGTACAGCACTTCCCAAAAACCCAAAGGTTTTTGTAGAGTGTATGTGCGTGTGTGTTGATACCATGGCTTGGTACTTTCTTTTCTTATTTTGGTTGCTCATGACTCCTGCTCTACTCCTTGAGCCTATGCCTTTAGTCTGGCATTTTGCTGGTTAATTGGAGATGGAGTCTCATGGGCTTTTCTGCCCCAGCTGGCTCTGAACTGTTAATCTGTTAATTTCAGCCTCCTGAGTAGCTAAGATGAGCAGGTGGGAGCTACTAGTGCCCAGCACATCAAAGCGTAACAGCCACTGAATTAGTTTTTAAACCAATGTATTGCAAACAAGGTGAATAAAGACTGAATACTGACTATCCTTGGCCTCTAAAGTCAGTAAAGATCCTGGAGGACAGTTTCTCTTCGTTTCCATTGCATGGTTCCCTTTCTAATATAGTTATTCTTTCTGTTGTTCCCTAGTGGCTGATTCTCAGCCTTTTACTTTTGTCAGCCTTTCTACTCACTCTCAGACTCCCTAGGGGATCCTCCCTGTGCCCTTAGTGTGCTGTATGCTCGTGACTCTTCAGCTTCTCTGAACTCCATACCATAGCCTCTGAGCTACTGAGGACGCTACTTCCAGGTTCTTGGGCATGAGTGTACCTTTCAGTTTATCAAAGCATGGATCACTGTCCCCAACCCCTAACATTGCTGGTTATGTAGGCCTGGGGTGGGGTCAGCAATTTACATTTTGAGAAGTTTCCAGGTAATACTGATGCTGCTGGTCTGAGGACCATGTATTGACAATCTGTGCTCTGTTTGGATGTTACAGAGTCATTTCAAAAGGGGGAACATTATGCTTTACAATGAGAGGGAATGAGGATGTGTTTATTCAGAAAGAGTCTAGATGGAGGAAGGCAGGGTGGGTATTTGCACCTGATGGCTTTTCTTTTTCTAAAAATATCTTAATGACCTAGATGGTCACTACAAGCAGGGTTCTAACTTAAAACTGAAGTTGAAATGTGCTTTTCTTGCATTTTAGCTTGAAGACTGGATTTTTGAAATGGAAACCAGACTATGATAGTGCTGCATCTGAATATGGAAAAGCAGGTATTTGTGGCTGAAGTGATGTTACTAGAGTACTTCAAAATAATCTTAAGAGTAATATCTCAGTGCTGCTTGTAGGACTGTAATAGTTTTGTTGTTTTTAAGGCAGAACAACCGTGCAGAGTCTTGCATTTTTCCCCCTACCTTATTCTATTCAGATGTTTTGACTGAGCCAGAGATTCTGGTTCCTCTTTTCACAGAGATGAGTAGTGGTAATGGTAGACAGTTCCAGGTTTTTGCATTGTTACAGTGCTTTGCATTTGTCTATAGTACTGTGTTCAAGTCTTGCCATATTCTTCTTCTACACTCATTATTGAATAAGGAGTTTTTAAGTTTTTGGTTGTTTTTTTTTAACTTCGCTTCATTGTAAGCAAGCAGATCTATAAATTGTATTTTGGCCTACTATGGTTTTATATGAGCTTAACTTTGAGCTACCTTGCGAAGTGTTCATGAAGTGTAAAGCAGTACGTATATTTAACATCTGTCTCTGTCTATATATGAGCTAGTAAAGGGAATTTATTAAAAACTTAGCATTTTCATTTTGGAAAGATATGATAGCTACCAGCAGGCAGATCTGTTAGCATTTGGGATGTAAACTACTACAATTTCAAGTCCCTCAAGAATATTTTCAGCTGTTGTAGTGATGGTCCTGACTAAGATTGTAAACTTAGAATAGTGATCATCTTGGGCAAGTACTTTCAGTCAAACTTGTTTTAGAAAAGAGAAATCAGGGACATTGAAACTAACCGAGGGCACTAATTAGGGCCATTCCTCTTTGTTTTGTTCTGATGAGAACCCCTTTAAAACAGCTGACAGTATTTTAGCTCTTCTAGCAATACAGGTAACAGTATGGAAGCAGTGTTTGTGAGTGTGTATTTGTGTTTGTATTTAAGATGCATGTTAGACATTTGGTTTCTCAGTATTTAATCAGCTATAAGGATTTAATCATTAAATATGAATCCTGGAAACCGAGGAGCTGCCATTTGCCATAGAGAATCTTGTGTTTGGGCATATCTGAGAGTGTTGCTGTTAGCAGGATTTTTTTTTATTATTATTGTAAAGATGCTGTACAGAGGGGTTACAGTTACATGAGTAAGGTAATTAATACATTTCTTATCAAACCCCCTCCTTTGTTTTTCGGTGGATGTAGCACTAATATGTTGATACTAGTGACAATTTTAAAAACTTTTGAAAATATTCTTTTAAAGTATTGATAGAGATTATGAGGACATTCTTCTAAGGAGAGAGAATTGTATTTTATAGTTTTAGGAAACTTTCTACTTGAAATTAGTATACTTTGTAATAGTTTGTATAGTATGCCGATTTTGAGGATGATTCATTTCAACATTTTTAATGATGGAAATAGAAAGTCTATTTTTTTTTCTGTTTCAGCTGTTGCTTTTAAAAATGCCAAACAATTTGAGCAAGCAAAAGATGCCTGCCTCCGGGAAGCTGTTGCCCATGAAAACAATAGGGCGTATCTTTTTCACCCTTTAAAAAGGAATTAAACAATTAGGTGATTTTAACAGCAACTTTTTCCTGTTTTACTACATTTGGAATAAAATGGTTTAAATTAGAATATGATTAGAAAAATTGTTTATTTTTAAACTGAGGGAGCATTTATATTGTGCTCATATGTCTACATCAGCTCTTAGAGCTGTGTTTGAGAGTTTATTTTCTGGTCATTTGCTGGAGAGGAAGGAGGGATATCTTTAGACATCTGCTAAAGAATAAAACGAGACACAGGTATTGAAAATGCATAAGTTGGAATGTAAAATTTTAAACAGTACAGTCTTTCTGAAATATTTGAAACACAATGGGTATTTTAAAATGTAACAATTACGCATTTTAGGCAGACTCTTCAGATTAATGTCTCATAGGAATAACTAAAGATCTATGCAGTTTTTTTGTGAGATAATGATGAGAGATCTGCAGAAACAGAATAATTTCTGTACTGGTTTGGAGTCATCTTTTGAAACTGACAACTAGTGATGTAGTTAACTGTCTTGTAAAAGTAGATCTCTAGAAGCCACTGATTTCCTCTTTTTCCTTAATTTTGACATCATTACATCCATTCAGTCTTTTCCATGCTGCCAAGTAAGTAATATTATCCATGTTTTTACAAATTGTTATTTTTTAATCAGCTAGTAAATTTTTCCCATACATTTGTAAGTAGTGAATTATTATATATTTAAATAAAATAGTTACTTCCATTTGCTTAAGTTTTCAACTGAATTTTTAAAACTAAGTAATTTCATATTATAAGATATTGGAATTAGATTTAGCATAACGTTTCAGGACTTTTGTATTCAATAGCCTATGAAACACACACTTGAGTTAGAATCTCTCTTTCCCTGTCCTTGTAGTTAACAAGTACTTGTGAAAGTTGCTTCTACCAAGAGTATTTGTTTTAGAATTTAGGCTTAGGTTTGTCAGGTTAGACTTAGAATTTAACCGTCTGAGCCTTCATTTTGCATCTGCAAAATAAAATCTCTTCAACTCAAATGTTTGATATTTCTAAGGTATGATTACCCCATAATCAAAGCCTTGTGACAGAATCCTAAAGTATCAGACTGTGCCCAAGCCAGCATTCACTTTCCCCACTGGCAGGGCCTTCACCAGGAAATCTCTCCTTCCCTAATTTCATGAAGATCTCATCAGAGAAATTATATTCTCTTTTTAGGGCTTATGAGCAAGCTGGCATGATGTTGAAGGTTAGTAATATTTTGTCAGTACTGTAAGTAAAACGAATTAACAAGGTGTTGAGGTAGAATTTATGTTGAGATGGAAAAGTTTACTTCCTGTGTAAAGACATAGATGGTAAATTAAGAATTCCTGTCCAGGGTAACATCAAAGTTCACATTTTGTGTGTCTAAAGGAAGGAATTATAAGTGTTCAAAGTGAAATGTAAGCAGAAATATTGGCTGGAACTTGGAAAAACAGGGTTGAAAGCTTTGTAATAGGACAGATATTAATGACGAAACAAAAAATGCTACAAAGGAGGTTTCCCTATATTTGAGACTTTAAGGACTTGTAAAAATGGACAAAAATGTTTAGAAATTTTCATGGGCTTTAGAAAGAAAATACTTATTCTGCTTAAATAAATACCATTTTGCCTTAGTTATTGCTGCTTTACCTGATTGTTTTCAAATGAGAACGTTGACCACCAATGGGCCACAGTTCTTAAAAACACATTAGAAAAAAAATGCGCATTAGAAATTAACACCCATCTTATGGTAAGATAGCACATAGTAGTACTGTGTATTTCTCAAAGTATGTCTGACGGTAATTAAGTTGAAATATTTTCCATTTTTATGTTTTCTACCTTTATAAAAAGTTATTTTGAATTATTTTTAGTTCTTAAAGCTTTTTTAAAACTCAATAAACTTTGTTTTGTATGACTTTTAGAATATTAACTTGCCAATTTTTTTTCCATGAATACATGCTTCTGGTAGAATATTTAGAAAGCTGGAAAGATTAAGGAATATTAGTACTGTAATTAACAAGTTTAGTTTAAGTATTTTCTTAGCCTCTGACACAGAAATTTTGGTTCTGCACATCTGGCATAAAGAAATAGAGTGATAACAAGTAGTCATAAGCATGTTTATTGAGAAATGTTAATTGTCTAGATGTTTTCAATAGAGAAATACGTAAATAAGAGTGCTTCCAACTGCTCTGCCATTGAAATGCACCTTCCCCAAAGATCATGCAGCTAAGTTGTTGGCTGATGCAACACCCAATAACAGTCCCTTAGAAACTACAATTTCTTGTTAGCCAAGAGGCCAGGGTTGTGTTCTCCTTCCTGTTTCCCCTGAGAAGTGGGAAGTTCTCAAATGTACCTTGTGCCTTCTATTAGCATATCCTATCTGAATATAGCAATCTAGCACATCATAATTCTTGTAGCCTCAGTTTATCCCTAGTAGCTGTATAAGAATTTCCTTAGAAGTTATTATTAAGCATCATTTCTTTTGTTCAAATGTCTTTGAAGTTAAGAAAGGTAGTACTTTAGGGAAAGACAATGGCTAGGAAACAGATGAAATGAATTGCTTTCTGGCATGCTTATTAGATAGTTATACCTTAGAATAATGTTGTAGGAGTCTTGAGCTCCAGACAGAACAGTTTATGTAAAGTAGAAGAAAAATAAGGCTAGCTTTCTTTTTTTTTTCTTTTTGGTCATGGGGCTTGAACTCTGGGCCTAGGCACTGTCCCTGAACTCTACAGCTCAAGGTGAGCGCTTACCACTTGAGCCGCAGTGCCATTCCTGGTTTTCTAGTGGTTTATTGTAGATAAGAGTCTCATGGAGTTTCCTGCCTGGGGTGGCTTTGAACCCTGATCCTCAGAACTCAGCCTCCTGAGTAGCTAGGATTACAGGCATGAGCTACCAGCACCTGGCTTAGGCTACAGGTTTGGTGTAGACCTCTAGATAGAAGGTACTTGGTGTTTATGTTTAAAAAAATGTAAATACAAAATAGCAAGAAGAAAGTTATTTGACTTCTCTAACTTATATAGCTTCATTGAAAGTCTGCAGTAACCGTTAGCTAGATATAGATATTAACGATACATTTCTGATTGGTTACATGTAGCTTCAGTTGGAACATCACCATTTGAACCATTTTAAGTACATTTGTTGTATAATGTTTTCAAGTCATTTGCTCATGAATTAGGGGTAGAATAATTGAATTTCCAATCATTAACTCTGCTTGTTTAACTGGGTACATTAACTGGGTAAATTTTCTGCCCTATGCTGTGTTTTGCCTAAAGGAGATGCAGAAACTTCCCGAGGCTGTTCAGCTGATTGAGAAAGCCAGCATGATGTACTTGGAGAACGGTACTCCCGATACAGCAGCCATGGCATTGGAGCGAGCTGGAAAGTGAGTGTGCACACCTGCTTACAGTTGGAAGCATTGGTTCTGCAGAGATGTTGTCTTGATTTTGCTTTTATAAAGTCCTCTGCAAAAGATTTTTCTGCTTCTCATACAAGTCAAATTCTCTCATCTAATTCAGGCTTGTAGAAAATATCGATCCAGAAAAGGCTGTACAGTTGTATCAACAGACAGCTAATGTCTTTGAAGTAAGTTTGAACTTTTTCTCTTCACTTAAAATGTTAAGATTAATAGCATATATGTAAACAAAAATGAGATAGCTGCTTTTTTTTTCCTTCTTTAACAGTACTGGGATTTGAGATTTGAACTCAGGACTTTTGCTTGCTGAGCAGGACCAAGCCATATCTCCAGCCCTATTTTCTGCTAGTTGCTTTTGAGAGACAGTCTTACTCCCTTCCCAGACCTATACCCGGGCTCTGTCTGTATATTTTCATCATACCTAGGATAATGGGTATACCACTGTGTCTAGCGCTCTAATGAAAAAGGAGTCTTTCAAACTTTTTCTGCAATTGTGATCCTCCTATTCTTAACCTCCAAAGTAGTTACAATTATAGATAAGAGCAACTAGTACCTAGCCAGTGACTGCTTTTAAGGCTTGTCTTCTCTGTTAGAGATTAAGTCGTAAATAGACTAGCAAACTTTGGCACCTCATAGGTGCCAAACTTCCATCACTTTATAAATTTATTGCTGAAAGGTAAGTTTTCCAGATTAATGCAGCCACCATTCCTTCTTGATTCCTTCAGAATGAGGAACGCCTCCGGCAGGCAGTTGAACTACTGGGCAAAGCCTCAAGACTACTTGTACGTGGACGCAGGTGTGCGCTTTCAAACTGTATGTATATGCCTCGTGTCACACACACACACACACACACACACACACACACACACACACACACACACACACACGCCATTATTGGGGCTTGAATTCAAAGCCCTAAGTACTGTCCTTTAGCTTTCTTGCTCTTGGCTGGTGCTCTACCACTTGAGCAACATTTTTACGTTCAGCTTTTTGGTGGCTAGAGTCTCAGACTTTCCTACCCAGGCTGATTGAACCATACTCCTCAGATCTCAGCCTCCTCAGTACCTAGGATTACACTGACACCTGGCTTCTAAGTGTATTATAAGTCTACATTTTGGACTGGTAAATACTTTTAGGTGTAGCTGTTCATCTTTTTTTTTTTTTTTTTGGGTCCGGTCGTGGAGCCTGAACTCTGGGCCTGGGCGCTGTCCCTCAGTTCTTCAGCTCAAGGCTAGCGCTCTACCACTTGAGCCACAGCGCCACTTCTGGCTTTTTTTTTTCTTTTTGCTTATGTGGTGCTGAGGAATCAAACCCAGGGCCTTATGCATGCAAGGCATGCGCTCTACCACTGAGTCACCTTCCCAGCCCTATAGCTGTTCATCTTTAAATATAAGCTATAGGCATAGAAGGATACCCTTGCATCCTGTAGAAAAATTGACATCTAGTGAGGAGGCACACTGAATTAAATATTTAAAGATGCACCGTTTTTCTTCTCTATAATGCCAGAATTTATCATGCATCTCACTTATTTTGTTGTTGTTGGTCATGGTTTGAACTTTGGGTCTGGGTTCTGTCCCTGAGCTTTTTTTTTTTTTTTTGTCCCTGAGCTCTTTTGCTTGAGTCTAGGGCATTACCACTTTGTGTCACTGTGCCACTTCCAGTTTTCTGGTGGAGATAAGAGTTTCAAAGGCTTTCCTGTCTGAGCTGACTTTGAATGGCGATCCTCAGATCTCAGCCTCCTGAGTAGCTAGGATTACAGGCGTGAATGGTGTTCAGCAGCATCTCACTTTTATTGGCTAAGTATGATTCAGCAGCATGAAAGAGATCTGTTATTTGGTTAGTTTTTTTGTTGCTGTTTTGCTAGTCCTGTGGCTTGAATTCAGGGCCTAGGTGCTGTCCCTGAGGTTTTTGGTCAAGGCTAGCACTCTACTACTTGAACCACAGCTCCACCTCCAGCTTTTTGGTCATTAATTGGAGATAAGATTCTCGTGGACTTTCCTGTTTAGGCTGGCTTCAGAAAACAGTAATCCTTAAATCTCAGCCTCCTAGTGGCATTACACATTACCCCAGAATCTTAGGATTAGATACCTTTGCCTGTAAAGGTACATTCTTCGGGGAAAATGTCTAGCCATCCCTTTGCTTTCTCTTTCTCGAGCCCACCATCAAGTGGAGAATAGGTGAGAGTGGTTAGAAGAGATGAGTGTTGAAGATCAAAGGTTCAGGTGGGCTGGCTTGGTTGACTGGGGCCTGCTGAGGCAGCACTGGGGCCTGGGAAGGCAGCAGACATAAAAGAGGCAGAGAGTAGCCTTGGGGTGCCTGAAGCCTTTTCCATGGGAAGGGAAGAAGTCTGAGTGATGAAATGGAGGATAGTTCCTGATGCATTTCACTGAGGGGTTTATTGAATTTGTTAGAAACTCATTACTTGTCATTTACACCAACACTCAGCACTTACATTCCTTTGTTCATAAGTCAACTTGAAGCCTGATGGACTTTTTTTGTGTGTGTGTGGGGAGCGGGGGGCGTTGTGGGACTTCAGCTTTCTGAGCTCTTCAGCTCAAGGTGAGCACTCTTCCACTTGAGCCACAGCACCACTTCTGGTTTTCTGGTTAATTGGAGATACGAGTCACACAGACTTTCTGCCTGGGCTGGCTTTGAACTGCAGTCCTTAGATCTCAGCCTCCTGAGTAGGTAGGATTGTAGGCATGAGCCTGGCAGGAGATTGACATTTAGGAGACAGTCCAGAAAGCCAGATGAGCAGAGTTGATGGGGACATGGTTATAGGGTAGTTAAGAATACCTACCTACCTGTCTGTTTCTCCAGAGTCTGTCAAATGCACTACAAAGATAACATACACTATGAAGGGATCACTGCCTGCCTTGTCTTACATTTCTTTGTTTGGTTTTGTTTTCAGATTTGATGAAGCTGCTGTCTCCATTCAGAAGGAAAAGAATATTTATAAAGAAATTGAAAATTATCCAACTTGTTACAAGGTATTTGTTGAAAATGCCCACTTTTGCCGGGCGCTAGTGGCTCACGCCTGTAATCCTAGCTACTCAGGAGGCTGAGATCTGAGGATCACGATTCAAAGCCAGCCCTGGCAAGGAAAGTCCGTGAAACTCTTATCTCCAATAAACCACTAGAAAATCGGAAGTGGCACTGTGGCTCAAGTGGTAGAGTGCTCGCCTTGAGCTGAAGAGCTGAGGGATAGCACCCAAGGCCAGAGTTCAAGCCCCACGGGGACTGACAAAAAAAAAAAGAAAATGCCCACTTTTGGCTTTATATTAGATAACTCTTCACATGAGAATATATAAATAATGCAAGGATACTGTGGGTATTTGTTTTTCTGTGAAATGACACTATTTCTGCCTGTGAATGAGAAAGCCATTATAACCTGTTTCTTGTGGATTGCAACTAAAACTAGAAACTAGAAAGCAGCTATCTACAACTCCTGAGAAACAAAGAAAGGCAGATAAACTGTGGAGGGAAATAAGCAGATGGAAAAATGAGTTTCCCACTTCCTCTTACAGCATTGCCCTGAGAGCATTCACAGTGCTAGGCAGCAGAGGCCCAAGCAATAAAAATGCAAAAGAAATCCCATCATTGATACAAACAGAGAAGGCCAAGTTGTTTTTCTCCATCAGCTTGCTCCAAAGTCAAGCTACAACTGTCATGATGCCTCAGGCCCATCAAAAATAGAGGAACCCCAGTTTCTGGCCAGAGGAACTGGGAAGAGGAGCCATCAAGAGCAAAGAGAAAATCCCAATAAGGAGAAAATAGGAAGAGGGAGTCACCTAAGGATGTATGTGGCCCCCCACAGATCTTGGCTATACATAGGTCTGGCAGACCCATAGCAGACTCCTGTACAGTGTTGAGAGAAGGGAAATAAAGTATAAACCACTGAGCCTTACAGGACCAAAAACAAGGCATGGTTCACAGTTTGACATAACTGAGATGATTGACTGGCTGTTAAAAGCATTTGATACCCAGAGAATTACAGCAACATCACCATAGTGTAATATCCACAGACATCAGGGACACAGTGCATAATTACTCAACACCTAAACCCGGAACTGGCCTAGGTTCAGGAGAAAAGACAACTGATGTCAATCAAGTCCTCTTTGTTTTTTTTTAAATGGAAAAAGTTATTTTTAGGACTAAATATAGTATCTGAAATAAATGACTAGATGAATGTAATTATAATGGTATCGTTTTATAATGGAGATAACAAAAGATAGTAAACTCGAAGACAGAGCAGTTAAAAAAATAGAAATGAAGATTTAGCCCGGCCTTGGTGGTTCACACTGTAATCCTTTCTACTTAAAAGGCTTAGTTCTCAGGGTCTCAGTTCAAAGCCGGCCTAGCCAGAAAGTCTTACCTCCAATTAACCACAAAAAAGGCAGAAATGGAGCTGTGACTCAAGTAGTAGAGTACCAGCCTTAAGCAAAAAAAACTTCAGGGACAGTGCCCCAGGATCAGCACCAAAAAAAACAAAAAAATTCTTTTTGAATACTTCTTTTAGATTAAAAACTCTGCAGAAAAAAGATGAAGAGACAGCTTGATACCAGCAAGGGTTTATTCAGAGGAGCCTGTAGAGGGGAGCTTCCAGCCAAAGCTAGAGTCCTGTGTCACTTACAGACTGGGGTTGTTTCTAGTGTGTTCATGGGAAGTACTAGTATGGTTTGGTCCCATATGAGGATTGACAGAAAAGCAGAGACAGATAATATGCCAAATGAGCCACAGCTGGCAAAAAAGGGTAAGGTGTTGCATTTGTTAATTAAGACATAGGTTTGGAACCTGACAACTTTATGGGCTGGGCATGGTGGTGCACACCTATCATCAGAGATGGAGACAGGAGAATCATTAGTTCAAAGTCAGCTTGGGCTAGAGACCTGGTATCAAAAAAATAATAATTTGGAATTGCTTTGCTAATAAAATTTGTCATTTTCTTGATCCCATAACTTTTGGCATTGTTGACATATATGTATTATTATTGCTGATGTTCCCTAAAGTTTTCATTTGTTCTTTCTCCTTAAATATTTTTTCAAGAATTCCTAAGTATAATTTTACACTTACGAGCCCACCCCAGCCCCTTTTGATTCTCTTTTTCAAGACTAAGTATAAAGTTTTGAAAAATTCAGGGATTGTGTTCTGGGGATTTGTCAAAAATATGGTCCGCAAGCCAATACCACCCGGGAAGGGTTAGGGCTGGGAGAGTTAACAGGCTTGCCTGGGACTGCTCCTGAATTGGGCATTATCCTACCCAAATGTGCAAATGTAGTTTGTGCCATTTGTGTAGTTTGTGTTAGCATTTGAGACACATTTGTGTCCTGTAGACGTTATCAGAAATTACAGATCTTTCAGAATACAAACCAATATTCTGAAGGTTAAGTTTCAGTGTTTTAAAGACTGACAGGGAGTTGGCTTTATGAAATAAGAATAAATTGGAATCTTAATTTTTTGTTTTAGAAAACAATCGCTCAAGTCTTAGTTCATTTGCACAGAAATGATTATGTGGCTGCAGAAAGGTGTGTCAGAGAGAGCTACAGGTAAGACCTTGACTTGGAGGTCCAAATTGCACTGGGGGCATTTGTCAGAATTGCTTCTAAGACAGATGTTTCTGGCTCTGAAGCTTCTTTGTAAATCTCCTAGGGCTAGGCGTAAACTACCATTGCAAGATGGATAATTGTTTGGAAGAGGGGCTTGTTTTGTACATTGCAACACCCCTGGCCTCTGTCCACTGCATGCCAATGGCCCTTCCACCCTTTGTAACAGTCTGATGTCCATGACTTTGTCACCTCTGCTGGTGGTAGAGAAGCAGTCTTCTAAGGGAAGGTCAAGTGTGGTTGTGTTTTACTTTAGCATACCAGGGTTCAATGGCAGTGAAGACTGTACTGCACTGGAACAGCTCCTCGAAGGGTATGATCAGCAAGACCAGGATCAAGTGTCAGAGGTCTGCAACTCACCCCTCTTCAAATACATGGACAATGACGTGAGTGGGCCATTTTGGCTAGCTTTCTTCTTGAAGGGAAGAGGTAATTTTTTTTTTCCTGAGGGAGGCTTCTGCCTCTAATTTTACCTTTACCTCAAGCTGTACTCATAAAGGGACATATCAACTCCATTTGGGTGATTTGAATGGCAGCCATATTATCGACATTTACTTACTATTTAACTGTGTTTAACCATGTGCATATTTTTAAACAATTTAGCTCCATTCCCAACTTCCTCTTCCCAGTTGACCTCTGTATGTTTTTTGGTCAGTTGTTTTTAGGCCCCCATCTGGAAGAGACCCAACATTTAGTGGCTTTTTCAGAAAGCCTGTGGGAGCCCTCTGAGGTAGCTAGCAGTGTAATGCACTTGTAAAAGTCAAGTAACGAGCTCTGTCTTCTGCACTGTTGTGAAGAAACTTTCAGTCCCCAAGGAAGAAACAGCCTGCAGAGCACCACACACAGGAGTGGGCATGGCTCTGCAGCATTCCTTCTCACTTTCCTCTTTCAGTGTATTTGATTGTGTATTAACTTAAGATTCCAGTTGCAGGGTATAATACTCAACTTTCTTATAGTGACACAGGTAGAAAAACTAGTCTTTTCTCCTTTTTTTCTTCTCTCCTTCTCCTTTCCCCTCCCCTCCCTCCTCCTTTTTCCCCCCCCCTCCCCCTTCCCCCCCCTCTCTTTCGTGTGTGTGTGTGTGTGTGTGTGTGTGTGTACGTACATACGTACGTACTGGAGAAATCATTCTTTGTTTTTGAGACCGGTATCTTAGTTTAGCTTAGACTGGCCTCAGACTGTGATCTTCCTGCCTTATCCTTCCGGATACTGTGGTTACAGATATCACTATCCCTCTCAGCTTTACATATGATTTTGTAAATTTTTATATATTTTAAAGGCATGCCATTAGATTACATCCTCACTTAACAGTACTTTATTTTATAGATACTAAAGTATTAACTTGGTATACTCACATTATCTCAAGTTCCCAAGTGAGCCACACATTGATATTTCCACAATGTGCACCTGTCATATCATGGCCATGAGACTGTTGGACCTTAGCACATTGCTCAGCATGTTTTTCATGTCACTGGTAGCTAAGACACTGTCCTTTTATGTTAATTGTTGGGGGATATCATGTGACTAGAATGTGTTTTGTCACTTACAGTATGCTAAGCTGGGCTTGAGCTTGGTGGTTCCAGGAGGGGGAATCAAAAAGAAGTCACCAGCAACACCCCAGGCCAAGCCTGATGGTGTCACCAGTGCAGCTGTTGAGGAGGAGGAAGACGAATATTCTGGAGGACTATGCTAGTGCTTTGAGTGCCTAGGAGAAGGGAAAAATCCTGACACACCATTTTCATGGACCTGGGACTTGTGTATGCTTATCTACTTCACAGAGGATGTGATATTGGTAAAGATGGATAATTTTTAGTTAACATTTTTCCTAATCAGCCTACTGCCTGTGAAGCATTTTTTTTGTTCGCAGTGTAAGAGCAAGAATTAGCCAAAAATGTGTTCACATTATAATTCAGGTGATTTTAAATTTACAAGCCTAATTCTAGACAATATTCTAAACAAAAAGGGCATAGTCCTTATGGTTTTTCTAATTTATTGTTAGGCCACTTTCTTTGCATTTTTTAACAGTGCTGCTTTTATTGTTAAAAATAATTATGATTTTTAAAAGTTGTTTTGAAAAGGAAATTTACCTCAATGATATCATCCATTTAAATGACTAAGTCTTTCTCAGAGATAAGATTGAAATAGTAGCTGTTTTGAACTCTTCAGTATTTAGCCCAATGAAACATGCATTTAGGCTGGTATATGTGACTACAAAATTTTGAAGTTGCATTTAAAAATAATACTTAAATGTCTTCAGTCCTCTCGGAAGCATGGGTATTTTTTTCATCTTATATATAGTGAGTTTCTTCAAATCTTCTTGGAGTAATGGTTATTGATAATCAGACCTTTCATATGAATTCCAAAAAAACTATTCTCATCCACTGAGTATATCCATATTTCTTCCTCCAGATAATTTCTGACTCATTTAAAGTTGCAACTAGACCTACTATAATGTAACATGGGAAATACTGTCTTATACCAAAAAATGGGCTGTGAAAGCATTGCTGGTGAAAGGCATGTATTTAAAATACTGAGTTGCCAGTGTTTTTATACTTCATTGTTATTTCCTCACAGTTTAGTTGGAAGCATTCCTTTCCCCTTGTCTTTGTTAGGCCCATTTCATAAGCTAATAGGAAGAGTCTGGAAGCAGCATTCCTCTGTGCCATGCAGGCCAAGCCCGCCCTGTTACTTGTACCCTGCCTGTCTCTTTACAGTCATCTTATTGGAATGTGGTACGCTTAGTTTCACTGAACATATCACAGTATTTCTGAAAACACTAAAATGAGCCTCATAGTACTGGTGGTCCCAGCTCTGTGGGCAAGCTTACACAGAAAAGCATCCTCTGCCAGGTGTGCTTGAAGAGCTTACTGTTACTGATTTATTGAGGGTCTGATAGAAAAATATTAACAAATTTTGTGTTTCCATAGGTTACTTGCATAATGTGAAAGTAGCCAGCTCATTTTCATTGACTATATTAATATTATGAATAATCTGAATAAAGCTGTATTTAGGCATTTTTATTGAAAGAAATTAATGCATAAAAAAATTCATCAGCCAGAACCTTCTGTACTAGTTAGTCATCTGTTTAAACAAATTTGCTAGTACTCAAAAGATTTGTTTTTTTTGGGGAGGGTGTCCGGTCGTGGGATCTGAACTCGGCCTGGGCACTGTCCCTCAGCTCTTCAGCTCAGGACTAGCACTCTATCACTTCAGCCACAGTGCCACCTCTGGCTTTTTTTCTTATTGCTTATGTGGTGCTGAGGAATCAAACCCAGGGCTTCAGGCATGCAAGGCAAGCACTCTACCACTGAGCCACCTTCCCAGCCCCCTCAAAAATATTTTAAACTGAGTTTATAGACCATGTTATTCATTACACCCTTGGGAATCTTATGTTTTCCTCTTTTTTACATAGTGGAAACATAAAGAACAAGTGATAAAGTTCATCTTGTGCAGAATACAGCTTGAATTTTAAACAATACAGCGGGCTTTAGATAACTGCAACCCAATCCCTCCCCCTTTCAGAGTGGGCAGGACTTGAGTAGATCTTCTATGTCAGAGTTACTCTGTGTGGTTTCTATTAAAGACTTTGTTTTTCATGCTTCTACATTCTATTTTTCCACTTGATAATCTTTCATCTTGATTCTAGTCAGAAGTGAAAAACTTGTGTTTACAACAAGAATTGTTTTCCAGAACTCTTAAAGCCCTTGTGTACCAAAGTGCTAATCTGCATGAATATGCTCAGAATTTAGTATTCAGTGATCTGTTATATAGCAAGTGAAGTCAGTCTACAAATAACATTTTAATATATTTATTTGTGAGTATACAGAGTATGGAATTCGTGTATGGAATCTGCTTTATTTTTTCAGCTTCCTAATGAGTAGAGTATTAAATGTTTCGAAAATGCAGATGGTTGCTTCTGTGGAAGACAATTATGAAAATAAACCTGAAACAATATGAATATTATTATTTAGTTTTGCTTGTTCATTTTTATTCAAGGAATTCTGTTAATTATATAAGAGCAGTATTTTTTCTACTTTACATTAAGATGATAAAATTTATTCCTAAAACTAAAAAATATTATCACTATCATTAATGAATTTGACTTATTCATATTGAATATCACATCTGTAACTATCTTAAGTAAGTGGTTAAATTCTAGCCAGATACAGGGGTCAAATTAACCATCTTGTGATAGAATTCAGAGAAGTGAGTGGGCCCCACCTACCTGCTAGCAGGATGATTCCACACACCCTCAGGGAGCACACTCAGCCTTTTCCTACGTGGGTTCTTGTGTTCTGTTAATGGACAAAAAAAAAACGCCATTTAGCTTGCTGTTTAGTTTCATAAAGCATTGGACTGCAGCATTAAAAACTCTCCCTTAGGTCTTTTTCTGTGGTCTGTAACCTTTTAAGGTTTTATGGGTAGATTTGGGTGGACAGAGCTCTGCTTCTACTACAGAGGTGAAGTTAATGTTTTTCCTATTGGATTGTCCTGTTGATTTCTGCATCTTTTTATATTTCATGGATTTTAGGCTTCAGTTGAGTACCATTAGTAAACATAAGTCAGCAGATAACTATGATCAGCTTCATAAAACAGCTGCCACGACAGTCAACATGAGGGTCTGGATTATAGGAAGACTTCATTAAAAAGTCACTAGTTCAGAAGGGTCATATTATGTTGCAATAACAACCCTTACCTCTGGTTCAGAATAACAGGTTTCTGTTCATTCATGCCATACATCCACCACAGGCCACCTGAGAGCTCTGCTTTAAGACAGGACAAGGGAGCACTATGGGTCTCAGTAACAGAGAAACAGGAACCCAAGTGGGCCTTATGCTACCATTCAGTTGTTAGTTCCAGAAGTGACACCTGACATATTTACTAGCCTGATAACAGAGGGGCAGGACCATTGGTTGCTTGTGGGCCTAAAAAGAGAGGCAGACCAGGGGAGTAATGACTATATGACATATGTATGTCTCGTGGTCAGTAGTTTGGGTTAGCACTGGTGGGATTTTACCATAACACACATTTACCTGGATGGCCATTCTCTTATCCCCAATATCAGGTGATTAAACAGATCAGAGGAATTAATTTTTCTCTAAATGTTTTCAAAGTTAAGATGTCTACAGGGAGACAGCTATTGCTTTCCCTGGCTTCTTGGTTGTTACATATTTAAAATGAAAAAGTCAGTGGGCCATTTGGAGTTGGAGCTTTCCATTCAGTTCTTAAGTAGGAATTGGAATAGCTGGTGAGAACAAGATGTGGCACAGACTTGGTTTTCTAGTTTCTGTGTTTGTGATTTTCATCCTGTGGAGATCATTGAGGCCCTGAGAAATTCCTGCACTGATACCCTGATACCAGAGTACAGAAAGGCAAGAAGCAGTATCTGTCATTGTGAGTACCTTATTAGGTCTTTCAAATCTGAACATCATTGTAATTCCTAATCCCAGGCCTACTATTTATTGAGTACCTACTGTTTGCAAGTTGAACTCTTCTACAACTCCCTTTAAAGTGGCCTTGTTATGTGATCAGATAAGTGTTAATAAGGTGAGAAAACAGAAGCTACATTTTGAGAAATCTAATCTTGGAGTCGTTATTAAAAGTTGGTGACTGCATGGTAGACTCCTGTCCCAGAGACCAGCAGCCAGCAAATACACTTAACACTGTTAGGAAACTGAGCCATGAAGGCTGGAGAGGAAAAAAAATAATACAACCAACTAGTTTGGAGCTGAACTGAGAAGAGCCAGGAGCCAGGACACAAACATGGCATAGTGGATGACACCTGAACTGGTCTGGGCCTAAATAGGGTCAGGTCAGGGGGTGGGGTCACAGGGAACTCCCAGTTCCAGGCACTGGACTGACAAGTTTAGTAACTTAGGAGCCAAGTACCTGCCCCTGCCTCTAAGGATTCAGGCATGCCCATCACCTGGGAGACAGTGGGCTTCACCTTCCCGCACCATGAAGACCATGCGAGACCCTACCATCCACCATGTGGCTAACATGGAGCAGGCCAGACCTGAACTCCATATTTCATGAGGAAACTGGCTTATTAAGCCCTCTTGTCTGAAACATCAGATTTTGGCCCCGTGGTGGCCTCGGGGAGAGCCTTGTAGAAGGGTTTCTCAACCACTTCATATATGAAGATGCTCCCAAGATTTAGCACACAATTTGCTTATCGAAGTTTTTCAGTTGGGCACTGGTGGCTCATGCTTGTAACCTTAGCTACTCAGGAGGCTGAAATCATTTCAAAGCCAGCCCAGACAGAAAATCTGTGAGACTCCTAACTCCAATTAACCACCAGAAAACCAGAAGTGAGGCTGTGGTTCAAAGTGGTAGAGCACTAGTCTTGAGCAAAGAAACTTGGACAGTGCCCAGATACTGAGTTCAAGCCCCACAACCCTCAAAAAAACAAATTTGTCACTTTTAATGTTTAGGAATCTAACCTGCACATTTTATTGTGCACTTTGTAAATGTACTTTGAGTTGATAATAATTGTTCATATTTGTGGGGTACAGCACACTTCCACTTGAATATAACATGTAAGGATCAGATCATGTTAGTTGGCATTTCCATCACCTCAGGCATTTGTCCTTTCTCCTGGCTGTTTTGAAAACTGATTTTAATTACAACATATCCATGCTACAGAATTGAATCACATACATAAAGCATTCATTTAGATTATCATAGAAATGATCCTTTTAGGGCCAAGTCTCTTTTCTGTGCCTGCATTAAAAGCCTAATTATTGGCTGGGTGGCAATTTTGGGGTGGCAATGCCTGTAATCCTAGTTACTCCAGACTCTTAAGATCTGATCACAGTTCAAAGTGAGCTTGGGCCGAAAAGTCCATGAGACTCTCTTATCTCCAATTAACTAGCAGAAAGCTGGAAGTGGACATGTGGCTCAAGTGGCAGAGCACTAGCCTTGAGTGAAAAAGCCAAGAGAGAATGTGGGACTCTTGGGTTCAAGCACATAAAAAAAAAAATTGAAGAGGGGAGAGTAGGGACACACCACACCTTTCTGTAACCAGAGTTCAAGTTCCAATGTTCAGTTTCCTCAAAGACCGACAAGAGCAAATAGCCAAACACCCAGTGAAAAACAGGAGGTGGGGAAAAATAAGGAAGAATTTCAGAACGGAAAAGCTCCAAGACCCTTCCCTCCACCCCTTGCTGGCCGGGCAGTGCTGCACCAAACCACGGCCCGGCCCAGCCTGGGGCTGCCGGAGACCCCAGAGCCACAGTGTCAGCAAAAGACTCCCAAGGTGCTGTTGCTGGATCTCTTCATTGTAAACGGGGAAACGTCAGAGCTCAGAACCTGCACAAAGACACTTCCCCCACCCCTCACTGGAGGAACAGCACTGCTCCATCCCACCAAAGCTACTTGGACTACAGGGGCCGTCTGCAAAATGCCAGTGCAGAAAACTCCCAACGTGTCGGTGCTGCCTCAGATAGTGCAAACAGAAACAGAAACCTCGGAGCTCAGAACCTGCAGGAAGACCCCTTCCCCACCCCTCACTGGTGGAGCAGGTCCACATGCCATCCCCAAAACAAAGAACCCAGGCCCATAAAAGCCGGCGCAAAAAAACCGCGCCAGCCCGGATACATACACAGAGGCAGAAATGGTATGAAACACAGACCCAGAGCTGCCGCCACTACCACCACCACCACGCGGCCCAGCCCACAATCAACCCAAGCACAGTGGCAACCAGCAACCTGCAGCACACAGAAACAGCAATCTGCTACAGCACCGCTGGGAGAGCGCCCAACCAATTCCAGGATTAGTGAGTATCCCACAGGGGACACCCTCCCCCCACCTCAAGGGAGACCAGTGCTAGTGCTAACCCCCAGGGCTTGACCCTGACCCCCCCCCCTACCACATGGACTACAGGTCCCACTAAACCTGGGAACTGTGCAAGTGCCCCACCAGCCCATGGAGCACACACAGCCCACCAGGCTTGAGCAAGAGTGCCCCTGGGAGGGAGCTTAAATGCTCAAGCTGGGAACAGCACCCACAGGTCACAGCAGCCAGCAGTGGAAGAAATCCGTACTGCGTACCCTGGGCTGCGTACCCTGGCAGGATACCCAGCAGCACAGGTCCCATCTCAGGCCAACCAGTGTGTCCCAGGCTAGGGA